TTTATTTAGAAGAATATTAAATTTTTTTCCGAAGGCTATTTCGAAAAAACTTAAACACTGTAAAGCTTAAATTTCGTATTTAAAACGTATAAAATTTTGAATAAGCGGCTGTTTCTAATTGGAAAATTATTATGCAGTAATTTTCAAAAAAAAATCATTCAAAAAGGATGTCATCGAACACCAGTGAATGAAATCCTCAAATACCTTGCCAAAAGAGTTAAAAATTGGTTTGAAAAAAAAGAAGATATTATATATTTTATATAAAAAAACATTTTATTGTTAGAGCAGTTTATAGTTTAACTTATTTAATTTTATTTATGATACTTTTACTTTTAAAAATAAAGTAAAAGATTGATAAATAACGCAAAAATAAAAATAAAAAATTCTTAAAAAGTAGATTACCATTTAAAATAATAGAGATATATGTACATATGTTGATTAATTATGTATTAATAATCTAAAGTAATGAATTAATTAACTATTAATTATCGATTGCTAAAAAAGAAACTTTATTAGAAAAAATTTAATTCATTTTCAGTTAACAAAAGTAATTGCTTAAGTTTTGTTTTGAATTGGTTTAGAGAATAGTTAGTTTTCAGTTCATTATTTAATATTATGTTCCACAAATTTAGTCCTCGGTTTACAATAAAGAATTTAGTAGCGGATTAATAAGTTTTGGATTGAATGTAGTTGTATTTTGAAAATCTAGTTAGGTATATGTGTTTTAATTTTTTAAAAATTGAATAAAATAAGATTGGTAATATATTTTTATTAAGTTTAAACATGAAAATAAGAACATGATAGAGGTTTAGTTTATACACAATTAGGATATTGAGTTCATTAAAAAGTGTTTGTGTGGGTTAGAAACGATCTACGTTTGAAACTATCCTTATAGCCTGTTTTTGTTTGCTAAGCAATTTTATTATTTTCGTCGTGTTTGTGCTAGACCAAGTAATGTTCGCATAACTTAAGTAGCAATGAATAAAAGAAAAGTAAATGTTTCTTAAACAAGATTGATTTAATAACTGCTTAGCTTTGTAAATTATACCTAAATTTTTTGATATTTTATCTTATCAACTACACCTAAACGTTCCCTCCTGGTTACATTTTTGTCTAGAAACACGCCTATAAACTTTGATTGCTCTCTCCTTATTTATTGATTATCAATAAAAAGGTCCGGAAATTCTAAAGAAATGTTTGATTTTTTATGTAGGCGAGGAATAAAGTGTATTTTGTTTTAGTAATATTTAAAGATAACTTGTTTGATTTAAACCATTGGGTTAGTTTGTCTAGTTCTTTGTTACTGTTCGAAATAATATATTGATATCTTTATTGGAACAAAACAAGCTGATATCATCTGCAAATAAAATTGTATTTAAAATGTAAGAAAATTTATTTAAATCGTTAATATAAACGAGAAATAGAAGTGGTCCTAAAATTGATCCTTGAGAAACACCACATTTAATTGTCTCGTAATTAGTCTTTCCTTCATCATATACTATATACTGCTTCCTATTAGTCATATAATTTTCGAAAAAGGACAAGTTAATATTTTTTATACCATAACTTTTGAGTTTCGATAGAAGAATTTGATGATTGACTGTATCGAAAGCTTTACTTAAATCAATAAAAAGGCCTAGAGTATATTTGCCTTCATCAAACGATTTAAATATGTCCTGAGCAAGGTGGCCAGATTTAAATCCATATTGTTTATGGTAAAGAATATTATTTACATTTAAAAAAGAGTAAAGCCTATTATACATAGATTTGACGATAGTTTGCAACTTCAGAAGGATCGCATGATTTTAAAATTGGAATGATTTTTGCGATATTTAAGTTTTCTGGAAAAACACCATGTTTTAAAGATAAATTAAAAATATGTTATAATGGAAATGTGATGTATTTTATCGATTTAATAACGACATTACTACTTATAGCATCAAAACCTACGCTTTTAATGGGCTTTAACAAAGAGACTGCGTCTAATCATTTTTTTTTTCCGTAAGTTTAAGATTAGACATAACACAAGACATGTTGTTTGAGGTAACGTAAGACTTAGAGTGTATTTGAAAAGTTGCTATATTCGATGGCAAAATAGGACCTTTATTTATAAAAAACTGATTAAGTGTTTCAGCCACTAAGGATTTATTTACAAATTGTTATTAACTCTAAGATTATTTGGTTTTTTACCGATTACCTCCTTTATAATTTGCCATGTTTTTTTTAAATCATTTTTGTGTTTAATTAATTGTTCCGAATAGTAATGTTTCTTGAAGCGTTTTAAAAGTGATTCATATAGCCGTTTATAGGTTTTGTAATTTGTTTCATATTTTAGATTTTTTTTTATCAATTGCGTTTATTTAAAGTATTTTGAAGTTACTACATAGGATGATAGAATAAAGCTAATATCGTATTTTAACAATTTAAAAATAAAGGATGAGCAGGATTTGCAAATTTCTTCCTTTATTTCTGTTAATAATTTTAAGCGTCGACGAAGCAGAAAAGTAATAATGGACCAACCTTAGTTTCATAAATATTCATATAAGTACCTCTTAAACATTGTTAGAGATAAGAGTTGTACACATATCTGTGTGTATCAAAGCATATTTATCTATATTTGGTTTTACAGAAAATTGAGTAAGACGAATCAAAGCAATTCTTTTAGCCACAAGTAAATAAAAATAAATAATATTTTCAAATAAAATAAGGATATAACATTGAAAATTATTTAACCAATATTTTATATATAATAGTATATATACATATATACTATATGTCACTATTTTTAAATATTAGGTCTACCATGTAAAGACCTGAGAGGACGTCATAAAAACAGACGTCATGCTTTTTCTGCTGAAAACATGAGTATGATACTGCAGCAAGTCATTTCAAGGACGATCTGCTCATTATGCTAGAACAAATTCTATCAGGCTTTATTTTCCAGAAGACTTGAATATTTTCAAAATGTACTGCGTGTTTAAAGAAAAGTATCCTTTAGAAAAGTGTTCCTATGAAAGTTATCGTAAAATCTTCAATACAAAATTTAACATTTTATTTGGATATCCAAGAAAGGACACTTGTTCATTTTGTGATCTAACAAAGAAAAAAATAGACATTATAGATATTCAAGTATCTAGTGATTCTGATGCTGCTAAATACTTTATACTAAATAAAAATATTTTAATTGCATCACTTGAGCATCTCGTAGATCTAGATCAAAGATTGAAGTGCCTGAACAACTTAAACATGCATACATAGCCCCTTTACCTTTTTCGTGTGAAAGGTTATTATGGTTATTATAAAGGCTATAATGTGAAAACTTATTAAAGCTAAAAAATTTTGTAAACAAAATAAGCCATTCTTTGATCAATTGCCAGTTGATAACTTACTTGTTCAAGAATTTGAATCAGATTAAATCTCAGATTCAGAGTAAGAAAATTCAAAAGATTGCTACTGTTATTTATATTTTACTAAAAAATGTACTTTATATTTCTTCAAAAATTAAAAAAGCATTTATTTTCTTAACTGTTTTTTTACATCAGGGTGTTTGTGTGGTTTTTACAAACTCAATACAAAGTGATATATTACAGAAAATATGATAAATAGATATGTTTCAGAAAGGTAATGATTGCAAGAGTAGTTTTTTATAAAGTTAAAAAAAATTCAAAAACTGTTTGATTTGAGTTTTTTTTTTTTTTTAAGAAAGGGAGGGAGGAGGTAGGGCTTAACATTCCCTCAAAAACATATAAGTAATTTGCGATTGCATATATTATACTACCATAATCTTTAAGTAAAGTAAGTGCTCTAAAAGGTTACAAGCTAACGGAATTTATGAGTTGATGAGTTTAAAAACCACAACGGAAAAAACGGAAAAACCACAAATGTCCAAAAGAAGTGTCTTGTTTTCAAAAGAACACTATGAATAAATAATTCTTGTATTTAGCACAAAAACTGCATTTTTATATTGTGAAAAGACTAATATGTCATAAAAATATACTTTTAATTAAATAAATTATTAATAAACAGATATCTAATGTCACTAAACACTAAATTTCATTTTTCTCAAAATGAGAAAAATGTGACATCTGTGGTTTTACCCGTGTGGTCTACACACACACACACAAATATATATATATATATATATATATATATATATATATATATATATATATATATATATATATATATATATATATATATATATATATATATATATATATATATTAATTTTTTAAAGTTTTCAGAAGATGGTAAAAACAATTTAGGACTTCAATATTATCTTAAAAAGTTTTAAAGATAAGCAATATACAAATGGATATGTGTACAACATCTTCACTGAAAAAAACAAGGATCTATCAAAAACTGTTACAGAACTTTATCTTGTTGCTCCTCAACTTCAACTTACTGTTTACTTAGAACTTCGGTTGTTCGTTTAAATGAACGCGTTAAGGTTTTGAAAAAAAAGTAAATGCATAGGGGAGCGTGGTTTAATACGGGCCCCTTAGCATAGAAGTTCATTTTTTCCCGATATAGATACCAGTATTGAATGCCTAATGCAAGAATAGCATAACTTAGATGACAATGTAATTAATGGGTCATAATCAGTTGGATTAATATAACAAACTAATTAATTAATCATACTTTTAAAACTTGTGATTAGGGGCCCATTTTATCCCATAGCTAAGCCTAAAACGGGCCCGGGCCCATTTTAACTGGCCAGGTTAAGATGGGCCCCGGGCCCGTTTTAACCTTGTGCTCTGTCAGTGACAAAATTAGATCAGAACATTATTCAAATGATAACTTGTTAATTTTGCGTCTACGCTATCAGGATACTATCATGCAATAGCAAGATCTGAACAATAAACAACTCATCATTTCAACACAAAAACTAACTATTAAGCTATTAATAACGATGAATACATTTCACTTCTGCAGCTTCGTGAATAGGTTTTACAGTTAGATCTATTCATGATGAACAGTTAGCAATAGAAAGTTCACGTTCAAACGAGTAGCATGAGCCGAGCTGCTATCACCTTGGAAGGTCTGTTCGGCACAGTTGTGAAACCAGTCTCGTCACAGTTGTATACCCTGTCTGGACTATAGTGGTGCTTTGTCTGTAACTCAGTGAGCAAATCAAAAAACTGGTCAACAACAACTTTGTTGAAGCCTTGTGCCCGTGCCGAAGAAGTTGGCTCTGGCATTCTTAAAGACAGGTCTGGATGTCGTGACATAAATCCTCTATACCAGTCCAGACCTGCTTCTTCTTTGACAGAACTGAATCTTTCATGGATATTGTTACTTTTCGCTAGTTGATATGCGAGTTTTCGTAAGCGCTTAGGTGTGAAACCAAAAAGCATACTTTCCATGGTTTTTATATGCTGAACAAGTTCCAGTTCAGTTTCCGTATCGAATACATTGCACCTTGAGCCGAGTCTTTTTGCAGCTGCTGCTCCACTTGCTAGACTTGACTTGTACCTCCGCTGAAGTGTTGAACGGGGTACGCTGAAAAGTTTACAGGCTTTCTTTAATCCCATTGTTTTTGTACGTAATGCTTCAATTGCTTTGACCATACCTGTCTCTGACCACGTTTGTCTTTCAGTTGTTCTTTTATACCGTCCCATTTTATTGAAGAAGCTGAAACAAAGCACAATACAATTACATAATGTGCTATTAATCTGTAATAATAGTAGATTATACATTAATTTGAAACATTCAAAGACATACACCCTTGATTAATAGTACCATTAATTTACTTTAAAACAACAAGAAAATCAAAAGAAATTATTTTAATAACACACCAAATTTATTTAAATAAGCACACTTTTAAACGACTTTTTTATGTTGATATATCCCATAATGCAGTTTAAACTTAGTTATATTTTACATAACAGATTCAGACAAATTTATAATTTGAAGACCTCTCATTAAACAATATTACATATGAAGTTCATAGTATGAACTAGATAGGTTTGTAGTTGTTCAAAACGGTAACTAAGGCGTTGCTAAGGAACTATTTGATAATATACCTAGGTAAAAAGTTAAATATCACAAAATATACAAAACAAAATGTAGAATTTTTTTCAAAAAACTAAAAAATAATAATATTTTCTATCAGAAAAGATGAAAATAATTTTTCTTAAAAAAAATAATTTATTCACATTTATTTTGTGATGAACCACCTTAAGAAGTCAATGCCTGCATCAGCTGTCTAAAACGGGCCCTTTGGTCTAAAATGGGCCCATAGCGGGCCCGTTTTAGACACTGATAAGGCCATTACAAAATCCTCATGTTGTAACGTTCCGATAAAAAACACATGAAATCGCTCATTTCCTGAGTAATCGTAACAAAAAAACAAAAGCAATAGTGCCCTACCTTGTAACTCGATATGACGATATGACTTGTAGGTCTGTGATTTCGTAACGTCAAATAAAACAAGAGAAATTGATATAATTGATTCGACACGTTTTTACAAGACCCTGTCAATTATTAACGCAATGTAAACAATCATGCATATTCATTAAACTAAGCTGGTTCTATTTGCATTCAGAGTCACCGAAAAAATCCGCTTGGTGTCGTGCCAATCGTGGGGCCCGTTTTAACCGAGGGGCCCGTTATAGACCAATCTCCCCTACTGGCCAAAAATAGAAAAATTTTTGTATCAAGATTTCAAAGGAGTCTGTACTACTTTTATGCCTTTTGGCCCATAATCACGCCAAGCCGATCGTGTTTAGATTTTTACACCAACGTATTGTTAGTGTCTTACGGATTACCAGCCAAAAAATCTAAACCCGATCAGCTTGGCGTCATAGTTTTCTGGTAAATCTGGTATCTGGTAAAAAAATTTTTTTGGCCAAAAATTAAAAAAAAAAAAAAAAATCAAAAAACAAGAAAAATTATTGTAATTTTATATATTTAAGCCAAATAATAAAAAATAGTTTTTATATTATACATTTTTGGTAGTTTTTAGATGTTAGAATTGCTTAAATCATCTACCAAATAAAATTCACTATTTAATAAAAATATTGATCTATAGTGGCTTGTTTCATTATTAAATATTGTGCAACATATAAAATTGAAACAACGTTTATCAATTATAAATGATAATGGGATATCATTTATATTTAGTTCATCTTCATCTTCTTGGAACACCTCTACAAATAAACAAAATGGGTGAAATAAAAACTTTGCAGTAGAATCATTAGAGCAGATTTTACACAATTCATTCAACTTGATATTTAAATATGTTACTTTCTCTGCGTTTTTAATTAAGATAAACTCATTAATGTTTGGACAAATCGTTTTGTTACAGGTTGAACAATTAAACTGAATTGTCTAAAAATGTATTAAAAAACGAATAAACGCATTGCATTCTGTATCAAGAGTACTGAAAGTTAAAGAATTATTTGGTTTTAGTCTCATAACAAGAAGAATCCATATAGTTTTTACTCTATCCTATTCACAAGTTTCAATGAGAGAAAGTATATCGAGTATGTGATTATATATTTTGATATCTTTTTTATTCTCTTGTAATACACTTATGATATTTTGTGACAATAAAGATGAGCACCAAATAGTCAACAAAAAATAATCAATTGTGCAAGTGTTTTGAATGATAATACTTCAGTATAATTGACACAGCAAAAAATAATCTGTATCCATTTTAAAATCATTTTTATTTAACAAAATACAGCCGCCCCATTTTGGTAAATGCTTTGAAAAAGATCTAAAGTTTGTTTCATTAATTATTTTTGCAGATTTCTTATTCAATAGTGAAATAATTAATTCAGAATCAATTATATTCAATTCTAGGTTAGATTTAGCTTTCGATTGTATTAAACTCGTTGATATATCTCTTTTCATAGTTTCATTTATCTCTAATGTTTCTTTTTCAGATTCGCATTCTGATTCATTTTCACTTTGTAAAAAAGACATAAGCCTTGAGCCTGGATTAGGAAGTTTTTCTAAATACTTTCCACAACACAAATAAAGTATAATGCTAGCAATGTGACTACAACAACCACAAGTTCTTAAACCAGAAAAACACCCGCATGCCCAAGACAATACTGATTCTGGACTATCGATATTTGGCAAGTATTTAATATATAACCTATACTTAGTCGCGTTTAAATGTCTTGACTGAATTTCAGCGGAAATCAATTTATAATTTTGAATTTGTTGAATATTTTTATCAATCAAAATAATATATTTTCCATTTTTATTTAAATGTTCTGCTAGATAACTGTAACTTTGCTTTATTTGATAGCTACCAAACGTGATGTATTTTCGCATATCATCTATAGAAAACTTTGGGAAATCGTTTAAATCTAACGCGTCGATTGGTTCAAAATGCTTTTTACTTTTATTTTTTGTGTTCAAAATATATGATTCCAAATCATTTTTGAAATTAATTTTATTTTTCATTAGAATTGCAATATCTTTACCGTCTTTTTTATCGGATATATATTTTACATGAAAACAGTTAATCAAAGAGGCAGCTATTCTAACATCAGTCATTATATGAGGAAGCATTGTATTCCTTGTTTTTTCCAAAGATTTAAAAGATTGTTTAAATGTACCAATAACAGCCTCGATAACCCATTTTGTGCATTTTGTAACAAACCTAGTATGGTTTGCTTGTAAACTAGTTAACTGACTTTTAGAACAAGTTGGCATCTTCGTAAACACTTTATATGTAGTTTTCAATTCATCAACGATATCTCTAAAATCTCTATCTAAAAGGAATAAATGATTGGGCTCAACTAGTTCTCTTATATCGTTTTTGGTTTTTAAAATATTACTTAATATAGTTACGTCATTCATAGTTGCAGCAAAAGGTCTATATACATCAATAATAAAACCATTTGCAGTGCATACTACAAAAGGCTTAACTAAATGTCTTTTTTTTTGCCCACTGTACAGTTTTCGTTGTAAAGTATTATTCGAACTTTGTTCACAGAATAGATAAGTACCATCGGCTATAATTGCTAGCTGTTCTTCTTTTAAGTCAAACAAATCTTTGATCATGTCTTTGTTATTTAAGAGCCAATCTTTTCGTGATCGTGATTTTGCTCCTAAATTCTTTTCAACAAAATCAGCACTAAGTGAGGTTCTTATCTGATGGCAATACTTTTGAACCTTTGACCGACACGACAAACCAAAATAACACGCAATTGAATTTTGATCAAGACCAGTCTTTAACCAAAAAAGATAAACGGCAAGAGCTTGCTCTTTCGAACGTTTGAAAGAGTTTTTACCAAATATAAAAATTCATCTTTGGTAAAACCGGTATTTTGGAAACAAAACTCAGTTGTTACGTTATTTATTTCGCTAAATTTTGCAAATATAGATGCAGTTTTTGAATCTCTAGACCGAAAACTTTTAAATAAATCTTGTATCATTGTTTTATTTAAGTTTACGGAGTTTTTGAAAGATGAAATATTATTTAAATATTCATCTTTAAGCCACTTACTGTCTGTCAAATGATACTTACAACACCTACTATCAATAGGTATAAATATATTTGTTTTAATAAAAACATCCATTATCCCTTCATTTATTATTTTACTAAATGGAGTCGAACCAGATTCACATTTACAAATAAAACAGAAACCATGTGAATTTGAAATTCTATCGATTTCTATATTGGTCTTTTTCTTTTCAATAGATTTATTGCAATAATCATTGTCATCGTTGTCATCGACATTCTCGAACTCTTCAGAACCCTTATCAGTACTCCTAGAGTCGAAATGATCATAGTTTTCAAGAACAATATTAGGATTTGACTCATCATTAGAATTATCTTCAACAAGTGTATTGTTAGAAATGACATTTATATTTTTATCAAGAAAAAACCCGGCTTTGTTCAAAGATTTTAAGTGCTTGTAACACATTATCTGATCATGTATAAGATTTATTCGATCAAGTTTAAAATGATATACAACTTTATCTATCATATTTTCATTTTTAATTTCAAAAACTTTTTTTGAGCCAATACTTTCACCTCTCTTTTTACAAACACTACAATATCTATTTCTAAGATTATTTAATACCATTTTGTAATATTATTATATAATTTTTTTAATTTTTAGTAATATTTAATTTTGTAATATTATTATATAATTTTTTTAATTTTCAGTTATAATAATAATCTTTAAAGGATTTAATTCACATGAAATAAAAAATAAAAATTGCAAAACTTTTTATTCAGGAAATATAAAAATAAAATAAAAAAACCATTAGTGTTTTAAACTTTATTATTTAAGCTCAATTAAAATAGTTGCGGGGTAGTTAACTTTTTTTTTTTTTTTTTTATTTTACTTCACCTCCTCAAGGCCGAGAAGGCCACTACAAACGAGGAGGCTACTTATTTTGTGGCTATAACCCTCTCTCAACTCTATAACTCCGAAACACGAACCTTGACGAACAAGGCCGCTGCGCGGAGAAACGAGTTGAGCGCGGTACTACCAGGGACGTGGTGGGGATCGAACTCGGAACCACTCGTTTATGAAGCGAGCGCTCTACCACTACACCACTACCGCATAACTGTTGTTCTAATTCCTTTTATATTGTTTTAAAATGTGGAATTTAACCATACCATATCGATTCTATTAGCCATAAGTGCGTATTGAAAAGTTAAAAGTCTTTTTTTCAATTTTTTTTTAAATAAAAAATTGCCTTAAATTTTTATTTTTTTTGAGGGGGGATGGTGGGTTAAAATTATTTTTAAGTTATAAAAAGTACTTTTCTAATATTCTTGAGCGTAATTATAAGATTTAAAGGAGAAAAAAAAAAATTGGGGGAGGGGCGAAGAGGGGGAAGGGGGCTCAAAATTATTTTCACGTTGTAAAAAATAGTTTTCTAACATCCTTGAGCTTAATTATGATTTTTAAACAAAAAAAAAAAAAAATGCCAAAATTTCATGTAAGTTGGACATACTCCTTTCCTCAGCCTATCTACTGTTCATGATACAATTCTACCTGAAAATACAAATATCAACTGTCCTCAAAATTATTATTCGCAATTAAAAATAGAAACAACCCATGATTGTATAAATATGAAATTAGAAGAGCTTTAAAGTGTAAATAAAAAACTCAAGTTTGCATGCTTATTAAAAAAAAGAGAGATTTTAATCAATAAAAAAATATGTAAAACAACTATAACATATCAACTTCGAAATAAATGTAGAATTTTAAAATATAAAAGACTTTATTAATCCTCAAAAAGAAAATAAAAGAATAAAAAAAACTTTTCTTAAACTCGATTTAAAAACAAGAACATTAAATAATTTGGTTAAAGCACAAAATAAGATTATAGATAGACTGAATCGAAAAATTATAAATTTACAAGACATCATCAAAAACCAATCACTTGAAAGCAAAAACAAAGATGTTATAATAGAAAGTTTGTATGCTGAGAAAGGTAAAACTACAAATAAATTAAAGACTAATATTGTAACAAAGTGCAATAAAAAACAATATAACTGTAACATGAGAGCTGTTATTTACAGGTGTCTTGAAAGTAATGTTTCTGTTGATAGTGTTTCTAAAGTAATACAATCGTGTATATCACTTTCAGGGTTAGGGTTAGGGTTAGGGTTAGGATTAACCCTAACCCTAACCCTAGGGT